GCAAGTGGGATCAGCCCAGCCCTGCTGGTGGAAGAGGACTATGAGGCCGACCAGCCGGGCAAAGACTGTTGGGACGAGCTGGCTAATACCGATGCCAATCCCACTAAGTATGTCGCTCAAAGCCCCGGGCAGCGGAAATCGGAGGCCGAGCAAGATGCTCGACCGATAAACGCCGACACAACCCGGCGGCGGACAGTGTATTCGCTCGCCTGCATAAGGGGCGAAAATTCTCACCCCGGCGCCAAAGCTGGCCCTGCCCCTCAGTTTGGCCAAATCAAGATCCGTCAGCAACGAGGGGGTCGTCCATGCGGTAGCCGAGGCGGTAGAAGGCCACACCCGCGGAGGGCGGCACCAACACCCCAGAGGAGCCGTGGTGGCGGCTTCGACGGCGGCGTCAGTTTCGACATCCTCGCGCGCCATGGGAACACGTTCTCGTCCGTAGGTGTTGCCTCGGAGCGTCTCTTCCACCAGCTCGGCGTCTACATCCGATTCGGCGGGAGAGGCGGGGTCGGACTTCTTTTCGCCCTCCTCGGCGTCGGACTGGCCCGACCCGAGGTCGATGATCTCGATCGTGGGGAAGTCCGAGGGCTCCCCGCGACGCGCGCCTGTTGCCGCCGCCACCGACGTCACGCGGACGGCGGAAATCGGGGTCACTCTGAGCGGTTGCATCGCCCCGGTCGTCGGCGGGGAATAAACGACCAACTCCCCGGTCTCCTCCGCCGTGAAACCGCCATCTCCGGCGGGGAGGTTCGCAGCACAGTCGGACAAATTCGACATAATCAAAAGAAGATGAAAGAAAAGGTTTCGGATAAACGGAATTACCGATGTGAAAGTCGCCGGAAAGCTGCAAGGATCTCGAAAATCGCTCTGTAAGTCTGCTCGGAAGTCAGAGTGCTCAGAAGATTTGATTGCTCGAAAATCTCGAAAGCTTGTAAAAGCTTCCCAAGGAAGACGATGGGAATATATATACAAACCGAGGGCCAATCGTGGCGTTCCACGTTGCAAAACGTTTGGAATTCGAAATTAATGGCGTAATCCAACGGTTGGGAGCGAAACGATCCAACGGTCCGTACACGGCCGCGTGGAAGCCACGCGCCCCAAAAGTCACCGCTTCATTGAGACGACACGACGTTTGGGGGGAACCAATTAATGGACGACACGTGTAAAGGTTCTGAACCGGCGCACCTTTTCGTAACCGACAGGAAGCACAACGGTCACAACGCATTAAATGGGACGTCAATTCGGATCAGAAGATAACGGGCAAATTGTGGTTGTGATTTGCTCAAGTCCAAGTCATGTGCCGACCCCAGATGTATTCTAAGGATGACGGCCTCACAGAGGACGCCGAAGCGCACCCTCTCCGAGCCCGGGGGCCTGTATGTTGACATCCGAGTTCGCCCATGAGACTGAACCGAACCACGCAATTCCGAGAGCTGAATCAGAGACCCGGTCCGCCAATAAAATGCCGAGCTGGACCGGGAAACCTTTTGACCCTGGCATCGCCGTGAGACCATTCGTCAGTTCGGTATTTTCAGTTACGACGCCACGGGTGCCGGGCTGAGAAATGACGGACTGAAAGAAAGTTTCCCCAGGACCAGGGGAACAGATGAAAGCAAGATGCCGAGGTGCCGACTTGGGGTCCCAGAGCGGATCTCTACGACGGAGGATGCCGGTCTCTATAATGGTATAATAATGCCACTTGGAGGGCAATCATTGGCTAAATGGATGGGACAGCATAGCCTGCAGACCTACTCCTCTTAGCTAAGACATAAAGCCTGTGAGCATTAAATGCCTGCCACCTAATGATGAGGAAAACCTCAAATCGCATTTAATGCTGTCAGAGAAGCGCCGGACTGTCCCGCAGGAATACTGTACGACAAGACTGATGAACAGTACCTGAACAGTGCCACATTAAAGGCTACTATAAATAGCAACCCTTCTCATTTATTTTGGGTTGTTGGATCTCAACTGTAATAGCTACTTCTCTCTATTTTCTCTCTCTAGAACCCGAACAATTACTCTGTAACAATTTGTAAGGATATTGCAAGTGCCGACCTCGTACGAGAGGCCGACCTAGCGATCTGCCAATAAAACTGCAATTAAACCGTATTTTCTTGTCTCTACATTATTTTCTTTTCCATTATTTATCTTTTTAACCGTTGACCGGAAACGCCCGTCAACAGTTTGGCGCTAGAGGAAGGGCGTCATAAGTTATTTGGTGCCTACTTTTCGATCTTGTAAAACTCCACACCACGCTCATCTTTTTCCCCACTTTTTCGCTTTTTAAAACCACTCAAAATGCCTTCGTCTGGACATGACGATTCCACCCAGCAGTCCGGCTCCCAGCCTCGCCGCCGCAACGGCGGGGAGTCCTCCCGGCGCGTTCAGCAGGGGCCCATAGTCCCTGTTCCCCCAGTTCCGACATTCGCCGCGGCTCTGCAGCACCCTGACGTCCTCAAAGCCCTTGAGGGGGTCTTCGCCAAGGCCCTCGCCAGTCAAACCGCCGGGGCGAACACTGCCGTGCCCACAGAGAACCCCGGCAACACTCTGCTCCACACCCCTGAAAAGGAGACCGGTGGGCAGAGGAACCCGGCGAAGTCCAAAACTACGGCCCAATCACCGAACCATGAAGCCCAGAACCGCCGCGACAGGAGTACCAGACCGGCTCCCACGGAACAGACAGGGGAAAGTCGGCCGGAGCGAAGCCTCCCGGTCGTTCGTCGCTCTGTCCACCAACGCCTAGAGACAAGAGCCACGCCAACCATGACCTCCGGGAGGTGATCAGGCGGGGCAAAGCCATCGGCCACGACACTGAGGAAGTCGCGGCCCTCAAACGCAGGATTGCCGAGCTTGAAGGTCGGCAGCCCGCTGGAAGTGAGTTCTCACGCCCAGCTCACCAACCAACCCGCACGCGACCGACACCCCGGGTCGCGGACAACGCCTCGCCTCTCTCCCTCGATATCCTACAAGAGGCTGTCCCGAAGGGGATACAAATACCCCAGCTCGGCCTCTATGACGGGAGCTCGGATCCCGACTCGCACCTCGGCCTCTACACCTCGTGGATGGACCTGCACGGCGCCTCCGACGCCCTGCGCTGCCGTATGTTCTCCCTGACGTTGGGACCGAAGGCGCAGAGGTGGTACCATTCCCTATATCCCCGCTCCATCTCGACCTGGGCGCAGCTCGGGTCGGCATTCCGGTCCCACTTCATTGGATCGCAGATCAATCTCGCCCCCAAGGAATCAATCTCCAACATCGTACAGGGCGAGAATGAGAGCTTGAAGGACTACATCGCCAGGTTCAATGACCGGGTCCTTGGCGGGGCGGGGCGGGCTGGCCCGCGGGCCTCAGCCCGTTTTAACATGTCTACTGGCAGGCAGGCAACCGAAGAAGAGCTTGAGATATCAACTACTATTCAAAAAAGGTACTTAGAAGGTGTGTATTCTATTTAGCACCCAACGCTTTTGATACGTTAAGATTTATTAGACTCATAAATCTCTGTTTTCACAATTTTTAACAACATTCCATTTCTTCTCTTCTACCTAACTTCGAAAGGAAACTGCATCCTCAAGTATTAAAATGAAAAATACCATAATATTAACTTAAGAAGCAAACCAAAAGAACTTGTAATTCACCAAAGGTAATGTATTTGCGACTAATTAACAAGAAATCAGCACTGCGCCAGCTTGAATCTGAACTCAGAGCCACCAAAACCAAAATAGAATTCTATAGTGTCCCTCTCTCTATATATATAAATGCAGAGTTTCACGAACGTGAACCTACGTGTCAGTTTATGGTGCTTCGTAATCCAATGTATCAAATTTTGATGCTTCGTAATCCTATATGTCAATTTATAATGGTTCATAGTATTCCATATAGATCTGGACTTCTATCCATATACCTATAAAGACTTTTAAAATTATAAAATAATTTAAATTATAAATGTATTTTAAAAGTTGATAACATTCATATTACGATTTATCAAATTATTTATCTTTTGACGGGCTTCGATTTGACATTCATATTACATATATATATATTTATTTATATATACAACTTTAGAATAACTAGGAAATTATATATCAATTTAATTGGAAAATAATAAAATATTTATCAATTAAAAAATTTATCAATCAAGTACATGACATTATGAATTAAAAAATTATTACAATAAATATGAACAAAAACTTAAAACAAAATTTATTACAAGTAATGATTGTCATTTTAAATATAAATAATATAATTTCAAGAATTATTTGAAACTTGAAACAAAAAATTTTATTTTCTTTAAATTTATGTATAAATTTTTTTATGTATAAATTTTTTATTTGCACCCGTGTAATACACGAATGTTGTACTCTACTGGTTGCAATTGAAACAAAGTTGCAAAGGATAAAAACAAGACCTTACTTTAATAAACTAACTCCTGACATGTAATAAATATAAGCTTATGGTTTCATGGATATCAGCGTACAAATTGAAGAAAATGATAAGAACGTGACATATTACGATAGGTTTCATCATTGTCCCCACCTGGTATAAAATGCACATTCATCATCGTCATTGCTTTGCCCCCTATTAATGTCCCAAAACTCATATTCAATATAAATCAACACCCATGTGATAAGTTAACCATGCATCCAAAAACTTTCCATACTCTTAAGAAAAGCAGATTACATCCTTCATTCACCTTCATGATCCCAGAGCTTTCATTCTCATCTCCAAATGAATGTATACTTGTTATTTGCTACATGTCTTGAGTGGTTTCACTAAAGTTTTCTACTTCTTCTGTCAGTGAGAAGTCAATAGCAACACTTAGTTTGTGTAAGGAATTGCAATGGATCTGTTAAATGCATGATGCAGTCATCTAAAGCCTCACCTGACAGCTCAACTATTTTAAAACTATATACAGAAATGGCATTCGTGTAAAAATCCAAGCATAAAAATAAAAAAATGATTTCACTAGGCTATTAAGATCACTAACATGTCAGTCATACCTCAATAGGATAAATCGGAGCCCGCATGAAGTTGGAGGGATTCACATCTGAACGCCAGGGTGCTAGCTGGTACTGTGATTCTTTGAGCTTTCCCTACAAGCAATTGGCAAAATATGATACCAGAAGTTGGCACAACATAGAGGTGTACTGCATGCTGCATCAACTCGTCAAGTATGGTCGCCTGTATAGTGGATATACATTCGAAACTAACTACATTTTGAACATTTTTCTCATCAACAACATACCTCAGTCACAAGAAGCTGCTCCTGTAAATGTCTAAACAGAACCTGCAATTGAAAGCTACGGTATAACTAAATAGCAATGGCAACTGGCAATCTATCTTCTCATCATAAAAACCTACAGATAAAATAACAAGGACAAGGATATCACGTATCAAATTCGAGCTCATTACACCTAATTAGTAGGTTTGACTCTTTATGTGGCTTAAGGAAATATCGTCATCACTTAGATTTAAAAACTCCGAGTGACATTTAGGCATCAAATAAAAATAATAGATATTCTTTTGCTAAAGCAGCACGACTAAGTAAACTATATTTGTGTTGTCACATTGAACAACGTCAAGATATGAGCAAAAGGCCATTGTGAAACGCCTAATCAAACTTGCTCTAGCATTTAGTAATCTATTCCTCTTCAGATCGCCAAAAGAAATCAGGATATACACATTATTAGTAATAGTCTCATACACTATAAAAGTTTAAATATTCAAACCATATAATAGTAATTTTTATTCTAGATATCACAAAAGAAACATGGAATGACCTAAGATAAAAATGACTAAATTGCTGACACATGTTAGCAAATCTGAGCACAAGTTTGTATAGAATCAGTAACAGAAATGACCACATCTGCAAATTCTTAAGATTCAGACTGATTTTAGAGATTAATCCTCTACCTCAGTCTTTTACTTACCTAATCTCTAACTCACATTTGATCCCTATGTCAGCATACATCTGTGAAATCCAGTAGAATACAAGGAGCAGAGTAAATCCTTCCAAAAGACAAGCTTTCAAATTCAATCTGCATCTTATTATTTCGAGAAGTAACCAAGAATAGCCAAAATTCTGGTAATGTGTAACTTTTTTTTTCAGCTCTCTCAGTTAGATTACAGGGACAACTTCATACAAAGACCCATACCAATAACAATTTGAATACATCACCAGGCAATTTCACCTTAACAAATGGAGCCAATAGTTCATCTTAACAATTCAATATTGTTAAGAAGCAATGTCATCCATAATAAGCACAAGACAAAACTGAAAGGGTGTTGCATATCGACCTTTACATTACTGACAATGGATTGTGCATCGGAAGTAAGCGGCTGGAGAGAATACTCCGTAAGAAAGAACATTAGAGAATTTATGAATGTTGTTCTTTCTTGTTGAGCAGCCTGAAAAGCATAACCGAGACTGATTGTAACTTATTTAGCTAACATCTGTAAAATAAAGGGGGCATTACTGATTTGATTACTTAACTTGATTTTGCTGTGCTCTTTCATTTATTAAAAAAATGAAAGTATGCGGACAGACTGTCATTACAGAATATCATACCTGTAATGCATACGTTAGATGAACATTCTCCTCCATTATGTCTTGTCTGTAGGAAACTGCTTTAGAAGCAGCAAGAATGAGATCCTGCTGTTGCTGATCAAATGCCTTTGAACAAAAATTTTCCAGGAACTCCGTCAGTATTCACAGACACAGAAAATATTCATAAAAGGTTTTTTTGAGTTTTGCCTACCAGACGCATGTATGACATTCTTTTCTTGAGTGCATATTTCTCATTGCTAATTTGTGCTTCCTAAAAAAAATAGTTACAAAGTTCGTGAGGACGTATAAGCAGACATAAGTACAGTAATAAAAAAAGAGTATTCGCTTACTACCTTTATTGAATATTCTGCAAGATGCTTGCTCAACTGTAGAATCTCCTCTTCGTGCTCCCGTATCCTCACAACAATACCCTACCCAAATGCATTGATAGATGACAGATGACTTCTAGCTCAAATGTAATTTTTTTAAGAAAAATAGAGATCATCTTAAACCTATCTCTTGTCGATGCAACATCAAATGACAATTCGTTGTAGTTTCTAAATTTACCTGCTTCGAACTACTGTCAGCCATTGAAATCAAATCCTTTCCCGAATATCTGAACTCTGGATCCAAATTGCCTACTTGCATGTACCTACAAAAGCAGAAAAGAAAATAAGAAAAAGGACAACCACCAGTTTCCAAACCAACTATTTTTACCTGCTTCATGCATCTAATATACCTTGCAGGGGTAAACAATGTGATGGATGGTGACAGAATCTGGGAGACGCCAAAATTATCTGATTCTCCATGAGTCATGTTCAATGATCTATTGACTGTATTGCTATCACTTTGGCTTTCTGCAAAAATTCTCATTGCATGATTTTTATCACTTCGAATCACATCTGATTCAAGAGCAAAGGAATTTGGCGAATCATGTTCAGAAGTAATTCCCGCATTTCTCTCACCATCAATTTGATTTCTCAAATTTAGAACTATTTGATCATTTCGATGCAGTTCATGATCACCCAACCGATCAGAAAATTGAGAGGTTGGATATTTGACATCACCTGATTTCTGCAGCAAATACATTAAAATATTTTAGGTTGTCACATTTCCTCAGTGGAAACAGAAGGAGGCTCGGTGCTCAACCAAACTGTAAAAATCATGTGTACTTCAAAATATATTTGGGGTTTCCAGCATGACATGTAATTCATACTTCATATTCCCCAACTTCTGGATAAATGATATATCTATCTCTCTTCATGGTCATATGTGAAGATTATTGTATGAGGCTATATGCTGATCCAACTGAAAGCTGAACACAAACACACAGACAAACACAAGTATGAACATGGATGTTTTGGCTCACTCACTCTACCTCCCTCTGTCCATCCTAATCATCAATCATCAGACAAAATGTATAATTGATCAAACATCTAGTGAAGGGCTCTCTTACATATTTCTCAAGTTCCTCATTTTTTTTCTGAAGTTCAGATCTCCATCGATTGTTCTCTTCCACCTGTATGAAGCAAAACACGAAAATAGTATTGATCGATTCACACTGTCACAGTTAACATGCTCATGAATTCAAAAAACAAGTTATATTTTGAAGCAGCATTGTTAATAAGCTAACTAATGTAAATAGCAATTTCATCATAGAAGATCAAACAGTGGCAAAGGAAAATAAAATAGAATAACATTCAACTTCAGTAAAGTGTATATTTTGAATGTGAATTGCTGCTTTGTGTCAATGACATGGCATTTTAAAACTCCATCAAGAACAAATATCAGTTTCAATATTAAGTTGTAGATTTTTTAATCATTATGTTACTCTTGAAAAACTCACAGACAAAGTTGCATTTGAGGATGCAATCCTCATGGTATTCATTTTCGATTCCCACGAAAAAATTATCAGGTTAAGGGATGCAAGAGATAATACAATCTTAGACTCTTTACTATCCACTATAAGTTCAGCAAAACCGTGAGCCAATAGCATCAAATACAGAAAGGTGAAAAACCTGCTGTTTGATCGTTGCCTCGGCAGCTTCAACTGCTCTCATAACCTGAAACAATCCATCACTGCCATTGGTACTGTACGGGTCGGTTACCCTCATTGCTGCAAATTCACTTGCTAACTTGCCTTTCCCATTTTCCATTATCTTTCTCCTCTATAAACCAGACTAATATATTTACAAGTAAAAATTGGCAAATACATAGATGCATGAATTTTTCCCCATGAAAGATACACTAACAATGTTAAACAAGTATTCACCTGGGTATAGCTCACAGTTGGAGTTCCTGCTCAGCTTGTAAGTGGAAAAATTCACGTGTCCGAGCACCCACCCACGATAATTGCACCCACATTTTTTTCACTTCGCCTCAATAGGTAGAAATTTTTAATAATTAATAGAATTCAACAAACAAAAAAATACACTTTTCTTGGCTTTTCAATATGTGATATGCTAATTCAACACAAATAGCAAACACGCCACAAATACAAACCCAACAGCCAAAGCTACCAAAATTGATATTCTTATCGACAAAACAACATTATAACAGCTGGGGACATCTCACCTCAGAGAAGATGGCTGCCGGTAGTCAGGGTTTCAGGTCGCCGGAGAAAAGGCGTGACGGCGGTTGTTGGGAAAAATACGCTGAATTTTCCATGAAGTCGGATCTATAAAAGTGAAATAAAAAATAAAAATTGGACACACCAAATTGATAACGGAGTTCGGCCAATAATGCCTACGTCTCCGAACTACTGCAGATATTTTATTGGGAAAAAGAAATACACTCGTGTTTACAAAACACTCTCAAACTCACTCACAACTCACAACTCAAATACACACATAAGCTAAATTTTTATTAGCTCGCTCTCTCTTTCTCTTCTCTTATGTTTTTCTTTTGTGTTTGGTATTTTGTTGTGATGTTTTTTTCATCCGAATCTGCTCCTCTATTTATAGAATGAAGAATGCATCATTTGTCCACAAAGGCTGCATTTGTTCAGCAGCCACATTTGATGTTCACATGTGCAGCAGCCAAGAAATTAATGTATTCACATGTTCAGCAGCATTAATTTGACTAAACTCAACAATCTCCCACTTGAGGACTGATTTCAATCTGTCCTCACACCTCAATTACTGCAGTAGTCTTCTCAGGTCTTTTATCCTAACAAGCTAACTGAAGTTGAGCACAACTTCAGTTTGTCAATGGTCACCACCTTCGTTAGCATATCTGCTGGGTTCTTGCTTCCTACAATCTTTTTCAAAGTCAACACTTCATCCTCGAGAAGAGATCTGATGAAATGATATCGTATGTCAATGTGCTTAGTTCTGGAGTGAAACACTGAGTTCTTTGCCAGATGTATTGCACTCTGACTGTCACTGTGCAAGACACTCTCTTTTTGAGTGAAACCCAACTCTGCTAACAATCCTTGAAGCCATATCAATTCTTTACTGGCTTCTGTCACTGCTACATACTCAGCCTCTGTAGTGGATAGAGCAACAATCTTTTGTATCCGCGACATCCAACTAACAGCTGTAGCTCCGACAGTGAAAACATAACCGGTGGTGCTTCTTCGGTGATCAACTTCACCTCCAAAGTCTGCATCTACGTAGCCCTGTAACTTTAGATCTCCTTTTCTAAAGTACAGACATTTTTCTGTTGTGCCCCGTAGATATCTCAAAATCCATTTGACTGCTTCCCAATGAGCTTTTCCTGGTTTTGACATAAACCTGCTCACAACTCCCACTGCATGGCCAATGTCTGGCCTCGTACAGACCATCGCGTACATCAAACTTCCAATGGCTGAAGCATAAGGAATCTTAGCCATGAACTCTTCTTCTTCTTTTGTTTGAGGAGACTGATCCTTGGATAGACGAAAATGGCTGGCCAAAGGTGTACTGACTGGTTTGGCCTTGTCCATGTTAAATCTCTGCAAGACACGGTTGATGTACTCTGCTTGAGATAACTGCAAAACTCCCTTTTGCTTATCTCTCGTGATTTGCATTCCAAGAATCTTCTTTGCTGGGCCTAAGTCCTTCATGTCAAATTCTTTTGACAACTGCATCTTTAATTTTCTGATGTCTTTCATATCTGATCCTGCTACTAACATGTCATCGACATAAAGTAGCAAGATGATATAGCTGGACTCATACTTCTTAAAGAAACAACAGTGATCAGCATTGCACTTCTGGAAACCTTCCTTGTGCATGAAGCTTTCAAACTTCCTATACCACTGTCTTGGAGCTTGTTTCAGGCCGTACAAGCTCTTCTTCAATTTGCACACCATATCCTTCTTTCCATCTGAAAATCCTTCAGGCTGGTGCATATAGATCTCCTCATCTAGGTCTCCGTGAAGAAATGCAGTCTTCACGTCTAATTGCTCTAGGTAGAGCTCTTCACTAGCCACAATACTTAACACAGTCCTGATAGTATTGAGCTTTACAACTGGAGCAAAGATTTCAGTATAGTCAACTCCTTCTTTCTGCTGAAATCCTTTGACAACCAGTCGGGCTTTGTATCTCCTGGAACCATCATGGTCTTCCTTCACCCGATACACCCATTTGTTGTGAAGTGCTTTCTTTCCCATAGGTAACTTGACTAGTTCCCATGTCTGATTTGAGATCAAGGACTTCATCTCGTCCTTCATGGCAAGCTCCCACTTGCTAGCATCTGTGGTTTGACAAGCTTCCATGTAATTTTCAGGCTCCCCTCCATCAGTCAGCAGCATGTAGTCCATGTATCTCCTGTTAGGCACATGGGGCCGAGAGGACCTTCTCAATACAGGAGCTGGAGTAAGAGGTTCTGATTGCACATCACTTTCTTCATTTGATTCCTCTGACTGAGGACTCCTCATTATAGGACTGTCTGGGATATCTTCCACCTCAGCATAAACTGGCCCACTCACTTCTGAGTTGCTGGCACTTGTGTTATGCCGGTCCTTGTACATCACTCTTTCATTAAAGATGACATCTCTGCTGCGGATCATCCTTTTGTTTTCGTCATCCCATAAGCGGTAGCCAAACTCATCTTCACCATAACCAAGGAAAGTACATTTCTTTGATTTTGGATCAAGTTTGTTTCTACCTTGATCACTGATGTGCACATAAGCTACACACCCGAAAACTCTAAGATGTGAGAGTTTTACTTCTTTTCCGCTCCATACCTCTTCTGGTAACTTGTGATCCAGTGGTACCGATGGACTTCGGTTGATCAAGTAAGTTGCTGTGTTGACTGCTTCTGCCCAGAACTGCTTTGGTAGGCCTGACTGCACACGCAAGCTTCTGGCTCTTTCAGTCAACGTTCGATTCATACGCTCAGCTACACCATTGTGTTGAGGCGTACCAGGCACAGTTCTCTCCATTCTGATCCCGTGCTCGTAGCAAAACTTCTTGAATCTGGTGGTTACGTATTCACCACCATTGTCGGATCTGAGCTTCTTGATCTTCAAGCCTGTCTCATTTTCCACCATAGCTTTCCAAATCTTGAAAGCTTCAAATACTTCTGACTTGTGTTTCAGAAAGTAAACCCATACCTTTCTGGAGTGATCATCGATAAAAGTCACGAAGTATTGCTTCCCACCAACGGATGGGACAGTGGTTGGACCCCAAACATCAGAGTGGACGAGCTCAAGCTTCTCCTTCTTTGGAGTTCTTCTACTTGTCTGAAAGCTGACTCTCTTCTGCTTTCCAAGTATACAACCTTCACACATGTCAATTTCTATTGACTGGAGGCCTGGTAATTTTCCTTTTGAGTGAATGATCTTCATCCCTTTTTCACTCATATGCCCAAGTCTTTGGTGCCATAGATTGGGACTTTCATTTGCTGCAACTGCAATCAGATGACATGCTCCTGAGGTCTTGTAAAGAGTACCACTCTTTTTGCCTCGAGCAATTGTCATCGCACCCTTTGAAATCTTCCAATCATCACCATGGAAGATTGTCGTGTAGCCTTCACTGGCTAGCTGGCCCACGGAGATTAAATTCTTCGTCAGGTCGGGAATATGTCTAACATTTTTCAATTCCCATACAGACCCGCTCAGCTTGATTTTTATTGCACCTTTCCCTACAACCTCACATGATTGCTCATTACCAAGGTAAACTTTACCAAGGTTACCAGGAACATAATTTTCGAGTAGTTCCTTCTGTGAGGTAGCATGAAAGGATGCTCCAGAGTCTAACACCCAAGACTCTTCTCTGTTCTCCAAAGAACATACCAGCATATCTCCTCCTGAGGATGAGGCAACATTTGCTTCTTCTTTTGCCTCCTGACCCTTCGGTGCACTCTTGCACTGGTTTCTGTAGTGCCCGGTCTTCCCACAATTCCAGCACTCGATCGACTTCGAGGTTTGGGAACTACGATGATTTCTGGACTTGGATCTTCTTCCTTTTGATTTGTTGTGTCTGCTTTCTTTGGTTGAACTTCTTCCTCTTGACTCTGTATGCAATACAGAAGAGGTCGATGGTTCACCCGACTCTCTCCGCCGGATCTCTTCACTGAGAACCAAATTTTGGACATCATCAAATCTCAACTTATTGTTTCCCGATGAGCTACTCACAGCCGTGACCGTAGCATTCCAACTTTCTGGTAGGGAAGACAAAAGTATTAAAGCCCGTACTTCATCATCGAACTCGATCTCAACTGAACTCAACTGGGTTGTGACGGTGTTGAGCTCATTGAGATGATGTGCCACCGAAGCACCTTCGGTCATCCGAAGGTTGAACAATCGCCTCATCAAATGAACTTTATTTGAGGCCGATGGTTTCTCGTACATGTTGGAAAGAGCCTTCATGAGGCCTGCTGTCGTCTTTTCTTTTGCAATGTTAAAAGCAACATTACGGGATAACGTCAGCCGGATGGCTCCAAGAGCTTGTCTGTCAAGGAGACTCCATTCTTCCTCCTTCATGTCCTCTGGCTTCTTTCCTGTGAGTGGTTGATACATATTCTTCTGGTACAGATAATCCTCGATCTGCATCTTCCAGAAGCCAAAGTCCGCACCGTCGAACTTTTCGATTTTCATTTTTCCTTCGTCTGCAGCCATCACTTCAACTCTGATCTGACTTCTCTGCCGGATCGTTTCTGTAATTTTTGTGAACTACCGTGTTTTATAACACGTCGGTAGATAAATTTGTAGCGCCGACAAAATTGGTACTATTCACGTTTTTCAACGGAATAGTAACACCACACAAAAAAATACAGAATTAACAATCTGGCTCTGATACCAGTTGTTGGGAAAAATACGCTGAATTTTCCATGAAGTCGGATCTATAAAAGTGAAATAAAAATAAAAATTGGACACACCAAATTGATAACGGAGTTCGGCCAATAATGCCTACGTCTCCGGACTACTGCAGATATTTTATTGGGAAAAAGAAA